TCTGAAAAAAAAAAACAGTTTTCATTCTTTGTAGCTTTTGCAAAATAACATATTCCTGCAAATACGATGAAAAAGAAAACTATATTTTATTAACAGGATGCGTGAAAACATTTTTAAATTTTTAATCAATAAGACGCTCGCCTCTACCATTGCCTCTGCTCAATTTCTGTTCAATTATCGGTTACTTAAACATTTCTTTTATATTGAAAGTTTCACTTAATTTCTTTAAAAGCATAAAACTAATGTTATGCCAACTTACCTTTACACTGTTACCCTATATTTAAATATTACATTAACATTTCGTTCCTCTCCCAAAAGTATGCAGAAAAAAAACAATATTTTACATTTAAAACTTAATAAAATATCGTACGTAGCCTAGCCCGTATATGTGCATAAAACATTCTTTAAAAAAAAGCTTGTTTTGATTTTTGAAGAAAAATGTGCTTTTTTACAAACCATTAGTTTTAATCTAATTTATTTAATAATAAAAAAACTTTTTTTTGTAAATTAGAAACTTAAATTTAATAAAATTACCGTAATTTGAAAAATATTTTTATTTCTTCGAAAATATTTGTGAATAAAATGATGTCAACAATTTCATAACAGTAACAAATTTTTTTTTTCGTACATCCACATATTATAAATATTCTACAATAAATCCTTTGGGCACCACTATAAAAATTGTCTGTTTTTCTGTTTTAGTAAACTATCAACAATAAATATTAAAAAAAAAAAAATAACAACTTTCAGTAATAAAAATAAGATTTTGAACACAGATGAAAAAAAAGCGAAGGAAAATGCTCCAAGGACGTTATAATATAGAAATGTTTATTTTTTTCCTAAAACACATTCCTACGCACATATTTATTGTGATTTGATGTGGGAAGATGAGATAACAACGGATATATTAAATAGGCAACGTTTGTGTATATAAGAGAATAAGTAATGTATGTATAAGGAAATGACATTTTCTTGGAGCCATTTTGACAATCAATATTTTAAATTTGTTTCTATTTTGTTTTATTTTTCATTTACTATTATTTATGATCTTACCCAACAAAATATCATTAAACTAAAATTGATTTGAATTAATAGCTATTTCTTATGCTCCAAAATTTAAATGAAAAGCCATTTTTTTTTTTTGCAAAATTACTTGATTTAATAATAATTCTCATTTAATTATTTATTTCTTTTTGTAACATACACAATTTATTTTAGACAAAATCATTAGTTTCTGCAACACATATATAATAAAAACAATTAAAATTTTAGAAATATTAAAATAAAGAGAAAGTTCTAAAAAACGCTCTCTCCTCTTGGTCAGAATTTTAAAATTTCATTGTGAATTTATTTCTGACAGAGCGGTATATTGACGTGTCACATATAATTTCCTCATTTACGTTTATTTTATTGAACGCTATAATTAAAAATTATAATTTGAATAAGTAAGTTTATGAAATAAATTTTAAATTTTCTACTTCAAAATTTAAAACATATATCATGTAAATTAATTCAGTATTCATTTCAGAAATTAAAGTAAAATTTCCATAAATAAATTAATGTTTTTTAAACAAGCTTAGAGAGGAGGTGTAAAAAAAGACATAAGGGCTCAACCGGGATTTGAACCCGGGACCTCTCGCACCCAAAGCGAGAATCATACCCCTAGACCATTGAGCCGCTGTATTATAATATTCAATTAATAACGTTATAAAATTTCATTTACAGCATAAAAACTTGTTTTAACTCAATAGTATAAAAATCAAAATTAATTCATTCAACAAGTTTACAGTATGTTGATTTTAATTGTATAGCTTTGTATAAAGTTTTTCAGCTATAACAAAATTATGTTCACATATTTTACGTACATATACATACGTAGATTTGAGTATAACCGTGAGCTTTTGGGTTTTTAACATTTAAGAAGTTTTTAACATTCAAAAAGTTTTTCGACAATCGTCAGCAAACAAATATAAACAATAACCAAATATTCAACAAATAAAAACACTTTGTTAACAATGTTAAAAATATTAGCTTAAAAAAAAACCGTTTAGGTTACACATTTACATTTTTCAAACCAAATTATCAAAACGCAAATATAAAAATACGATTGCCGAATATTAGCAAACTTTTTCATCGTTCTATACTTGTATTACTGTTGGTAGAGCAATATAACAAACAGCAGTGCTTGAATAATAAAAGAAATTTTTAAAAATTTTTTGAAAATTTATTTTTTTGATTTAATCAGAAATTTCGCTTTCAAAGGAGATCGGGAGTTATTTAGCTTATTATAAAAAATTAAGTTTACACTTAACGTCAAAAACATATTTCAATTGAACAAAATTGAATTTTTTGATAAAAAACCACTTTACCACTTTTTCATTTAATAATATAAATTAAGGGTAATTTTCAATCCAATTGTCTTTAAAGATATTTTGTAAACTGTATATAGATTATATTTAACTGTAATATAACTGTTACAGACATATTCAAGTACATAATGAAAAAAGATCCAAATCAATATTAAAAAAAAGTATTTGTATCTTATTCATATGTACCTAGTTATATATATTTTTATAATTAATTGGATAAAACATTAATTACAAAAAAATATTTGTATCCACTTAATTGATTTAACAGTAAAACGAGAATATAAGTAGGTTGAGTTGGCCGTGTCAACTCTATGATACCCGTACGAATCAATGATTTTAAGAGTTGTATATGATAACCACCACACCTCTTCATACAAAATGTATGGTATTAAGTCATACATATAATTAAATTTTCAATATAAATTCATACAATCTTAAAGAATTTTATCGAAAATTATGGCCGCATTAGAAATTTTTTTTTTGTGCAAAATTTCAGCACTGCATACTTTCAATATTTTTTATAACATACGAATAAATAAATTTGAATATATATGACAGATATGTCATCAAAAGCAGTTGAACAATTTCAAAAAGTTTATTTTATTTCGCTTGAACGAAATTTTAATTCTATAGCTTTTTTAATTTCTGACATATATCACAAAATAAATTTTGAAATTGTACGGCAGTTACTCGAACCACTGCTTTTATCGTATCCAATTTAAATAGGATACTCGTTTTTACAATATAAATAATTTTGTGAAATTTTAGAAAACTTAACTCATTTAGTTTTTAAGTTATCACTGGAACGGTCAAACAGACATTGTTAAATTGCTGATCAAAAACAAATACATGCGTCTTTTATTACATTTTTAGTGTTATAAACAAAGTGACAAATTTATAATACCTTTCACCCCGTACATACTCGTACATACTGATATAAATACTCAAGTTCTTGTAGAGTAGAAATATGTGTGACAAAATTATGTTATATTGGGGCTTGTATATAAAAAATTGCGATTTTTTTATAATTATTTTATATCTATAGTTTTCCAACCACAATTTATGTACCTAAACGGTTCTGAATTGAAAAAAAAGTAATTTCAATGTTAAAATTGTTTTGTTACTTATTTTGTTTTTTTCTTTTTTTCAATAATCGGAATGTGTCAAATATATTAAACGGTATCAGAGTAAAAATTTATATGCCTTAATATTTGTTTTATGTTACATTTGAAAAGTTTGCGCAAAAAAGTGAAAAAATAATATGTACATGTTGTATGTACATTTTACAACACATTTATTTAGTGCACAACACACTCACTTCACACTATCATTTTATGTACTGTTACAACACACATTCAATACCGAATCACTTGCAGCCGTATTCCCAATGTAAATGTTCCTAAAATTAAATTTGCTTCTAGACATTAAAAATTCACAAAATCTGGAATGAAAGGAAAGTTCTCAACAACATTTTGAATCTCTAATTAGTAGCTTGATAGACCAAATGGAGACTTTAAAAATTGAAAAATTATATGAAGTAAATACGTATGTGAGAAGAGAAAAACATGTTTAATATGAATAGGGTAAGTTCCCCCACCTGTGGACAAAAACAAAATTTTAGTAACTCTTTTTAGTTTTAAAAAACTACTAAAAACATTTACTTTTTAACCACGACGAATTGATTGCGGTTTTAAAATATTTTGAAGCGAGATATATCGCATATGACCAGAATAGTGTTTTCGGCAATGAAATATACTTTTTAAAACTATACAACATTTAATGGTAACTTATTTATTTTCCCAGATATCACTACTGTCCACTGGCAAAACCGTCCTCACCCTATAGGTTATTAAACATTGTAACTAAATAAGTAAATTAAATATTATTTATTCCATAAGAACTATATTAGTTTTGAAATTTAATGAAGCATTTGCATGCTCATAAATTAAACATGATTTCAAGTGCTGGTTTGTGGAGCATATTAAATAATTTCCACATAAAAATTCTTCATAGATCAAAATCTGAAATAAGAAAAATAAATTTTTAATATTAGCAATAACATTTTTCATAAAAAAATTAATAATTTTGTCCACATAAGTTATACAGGGTGTTCACATAAAAGGTGACAAAAAATTTCAGGGATGATTTTTTGATCAATTCCCAGCAAAAAATTGTGTGCATGGGGAGAGGTGGTGTAGATACACTCGTTTTCGAACTACAGCCTGTTGAAAAGAAAAGGTATTTTACTTTTCCTGCATATAAATAAATGCTTATAACTTCGGAACCACACTACATAGAGTTATCATTGGGAAATTGTTTTACAGTCAATTGATTATTTTTTATTTTTGGTCTTACAATTAATTTGATTTGAGTCATAGTTTTTGAGATACAGCTCGTCAAAGTCAGAATTTCACAAAACTCGAAAAATTTTTTTTTTTGATTTTTTCGATGCACTACGATGAAATCTAAAAGTTAACCCATACTATAACATTTTTTTCTATCTCTCATAGTTTTGCCAGTAAACTGTGGTAAATGTGTTCAAAAAACATTATTTGCCATCTTATTCAAAAGCACGCTGTATATACATACCAATATTTTATATTTACACTTAATTAAAATTTTTGTGACAAATTGTTGTATACACAAACAATCACGGAAATAAATACGATAATTTTTTAAAAACATCTTTTAGTCTAAAGCTGACCTCCGTCTACAACTTCAGTAGTGGATTGAAAATTATTGTTTAGATGAAATAAATTAGGAAAACGAAAATATTAAAAATTATTTAATTAATTGTTTTATTTCAATTTAAAATTATGTTATTTTATTTGTTACTAATAGTTTTACTAGCACTTTATTGCTTTTACAATTACAATATACGATGGAAATATATTGATAAAATACAAGGACCAACTGCATTACCAATAATTGGAAACATTCATCAAATAGGATTTAATCCCATTGGTAAACAATTTAAAGTATTATATAATAGATTCTAAAAATTCTGTTAAATATATAAATATGTATATTAACACCTTAAATTGACTTCTAGCTAGATTTAAACATTTTAATATTTCAAATATGCTTTTTCATTCACAAAAGTAATGAGAAGCGTTCGACCGACAAAAGCGCGGTTTCAGTAGAATACAATTTGAAATTGGTTAAATATAAAATATAGTATTTAGAAATATGTATGGATGTGTGTAGGTACATAAACTTCTCACAAGTTCGGTTTTTTTCTATCGCCTAACGTTATGCAAAAATTGATTTTTAAAATTTCAGAGATTTAAATGAACATTTGAATCTATAAATACAACAGAGCACAATCAATATTTTACATAAATTTATGCATAGAAATTTTAAAATACAAACATATGTATGTATGGAAAACAATGTTTCAGTCATTTAAAAAATTTTTAGAAAATAGCTCTTATATACTTTATTCAATCATTTTTAAAAAAATAGGCACTATTTACCATTCAATAAAAATTTTTACTATTTCAGAATACCTAAAATTCTTTATGAAATTAAGCATTAAATACAAGCAAGAGACATTTCGTATTTGGATTGGAAGCAAACCTTTCATAATTGTAACAGACCCAAAAGACATGGAAGTGAATTTTTTTTTTAAATATTTATTTACAAAACAAACTGAGCGAAAAAATTAAATATTCTAGGTGATACTTTCAAGTAATACACTTTTTAAAAAAGCCACTATGTACAGACTCCTATTTCCATGGCTAGGTGATGGACTACTAACAATTCACGGAGATAAATGGTTTAAGCATCGTAAAATGATTACACCATCATTTCATTTTGATATTTTAGTTGATTTTCACGATATAATGAAAGAAAAATCAAAAATATTTGTTAAACATTTAAAGTTAAAAGCAAACAAAAAGGAAATTTTTGATATACAAGAAAAACTAGAGTATATTACATTGGACATTATTTGTGAAACAGCAATGGGACAACCAATAAATTCAATAGAAAATAATAAATTGGAAGTTGTAAGAGCTTTTCAAGAGTAAGTTTAAATAAATATTTAATTATTAAATCATTTATATTACAAAATTTTTAGATTATTATAAATAAAAATTTTATTTACTGATCATTTTCTTTTTAGTTTACATCATATTGTACAAAATCCAAGGTTTGGTCTTTTTATTTCAAATCCAATATTATTTCAGATATACAAAGAGTACGTAATTCGAACAAAAGCATTAAACATAGTAAAAAAGTTTTCAATGGATGCAAGTAGAAGTTTAATATTGGAAAGCGAAACGTAGAAATTTAATAATTTTTTTTAGATGATTGAAAGAAGGCGTAATCTAATTATTTGTAAAGAACGAAATGAAAACTTTAATTCCGATAGCGATAAAAACAAACGCGTATTTTTAGACACCTTATTAACATCTACTATTGATGGAAAACCACTGACGAACCAAGAAATATATGATGAAGTTCAAACATTTATATTTGAGGTAAAACAAAAAAAAAAAACAATTAACGAGGTTATTTCAACATTTTTCTCATTAAGGGACGTGATACAATTTCTTCTGGAATTACATTTGCAATTTATCTATTGTCAAGGCATCCAAATATTCAGGTTAAAAAAAAAAAATTTAATTTAAAAAAATAAATTTCCTTATTATTGCACGCATATATCCAAATTTATTATGTATTTAAGTTAACTTAATTAAAATGAATGTTTGTGAATTAAAACAAAAACTTGGAAAATATTATCCTGTATTAAGCATAATATGTTTTTATCTTTATATAGGAAAAAGTCTATCAGGAACAGAAACTGATTTTTGGTGACGATCTTAAAAACTGTAATCCATCCTATCACAATGTACAGAATATGAAATATTTAGATATGGTTATCAAAGAATGTCAAAGATTATATCCTAGTGGACCACTCATTGCGCGAGAAACAACAAAACTTACTGATTTAAGTAAATAAAATAAAATTTAAAATCTACCTTTTAAATTTAAATTTATGTTTCTTAAAATTATGTATGTAGATGGCAAAACAATACCTAAAAATACAACATTGGCATTATTTATTTTTGCAATGGGATATAATGAGAAATATTTTCCTGATCCGTATAAATTTGATCCAGAACGATTTAGTAGTGACCGAGACAAAATAAATCCATTTGAATATATACCATTTAGTGCTGGTCCAAGAAATTGTATTGGTCAAAAATTTGCCATGCTAGAAATGAAATCAATTGTTTCAGATATTGTAAGAAACTTTAAAATTCTTCCACCCAATGATGAATGTTTAAAAATCAATGGAGACTATGAATATTTGGGAAGATTTGAATACGATCCAGTTTTAGCATTGCTATTGACTTTAAGAGCTGAACGTGGACTAAAGATTATATTAGAAAATCGCTGAATGTGGTGATTTTATAAATTAGCTAAGTCAAAGTATTATTAATTTCTTTAAATTGACTTTGAATAATAATAAAGCCACAGAATTTTTTTTAGATCATATTATTAAAAAGATTACAGTTAATTGTATACTAAGATTTACAAATTTATTTTATTGCTAATTGGTGTTTTACGCCTATATTTTTAGAATAAAAAAAGTAATGTATATTCTGACATAGCGTGGATATTTAGAGTGTCGTTGACATGATTTTAAATTTTGTTTTAAAAAAAATTAATATAAAACAAAAGAGCGTTATATATTGTATAGTTGTATTTAAAATGCAACATAGAATTGTATTTTAAATACAAGTAGCCATTAAAAAAGTCTGGTCCAAAAAACTTTAATATTTATAATTTATTTTGAAATATTTTTTCTAAAATATAATCTTTTGCGAATGTAAATAATGAATCCATTGTTAAAAGTCCATTCATTTCAACAACATTAGCAATTAATTTAATTTGTTCGTGATAATTTAAATAACTAGGCCATACACACATTTCAAAATATCCAAGTATATCTGGTGGATCATAAACTCTTTTTATACGTCTTTCATAACATTTTTCCAATGGTATATGTAAATGAAATTTAATATGTAATAATTTTAATAATCGATAATCTTCCAATATTAAAAAACCTTCAACTAAAATAATTTGTACTTTTAAAATTTCTAATATTTCATCATTTCTATTACTGTTTAAATTCGTTAATTTACTAGCCTCCTTTTGAATATTTATTAAATCATTTATCATTTTTTCCATATCTAAGGCACCAAGACGTTCCCAATTTATATGATTTAAACCATTAACTTTTTCATGTTTTATATCATCTACTGGTAAAAAGTAATCATCCTGTGATACTATTATACATTTTTCAATTAAAAATTTTTCAGGTTTTGTATTCGGTCTGTGATTCAAAATATTTAAATGTGATTTGAAAAAATTGCAAAGTAATGTAGCTAAAGTTGTTTTTCCTCCACATGTTACTCCAGATATACCAATAAATATACATATGGTTGTCATTTTTTGTTTCAAATAACTAAAATGAAAAATAAATTATATTTATTATATATTTATTTTATATTTATTATATGTATATTTAAAAATTTTATATTATGTATTTATGCTAAAAGTATTAAAAATGAAATAACAAAAGAATTAGCTAGTAATTGAAATTTGAGAAAAAATAACAAAGTGTTACAAGTAGCCAATTTAATGCTTCATTAAACAATGTGCGTAAATACTTCTAACCATAATGTTAAATTATATGAGACATTTTCTTACCTAAATTTTCAATTTGATTGTGCGTCATTAAATTAAAGCTTATTGCTTATAACAATGCTATTTTTGTTATTCGGGAAACATCTCAAATATTTTAAAGGAACATGGAATACCTGAAAAAAAACAAGAAACACACATTATTTAAATATTTAACTAAATCTAATTATAATAAAAATTATTATAATATTTTATCGTACATTTCTCAAATTACATATTATCCTTATATTACAAAATTATACACAATAAAAGTTAATAGTTTTGGTTAAAAATAAATTTGACACAATTCAAAATGCATGATTAATAATATTTTTAAAATTGTTTCGTCATTCTCATGAAGTTAATTAAAATTCAATTAATTGTTTTTTTATGAAGTTTAACAAAATTTGGAAAAAAACGACAAGATAAATAATCAAAAAATATTTTGAATATCACTTACTTTTATCAAAATTACTATCATATTTTATTATGCCTACTATAGAGATTTCATCAAAAAATAATTTTAAAAATCTCAACACGGATGATAGAATAAACAATGTTGATTAAATTTTTAACTGATAAAAATCAGACGAAAATAAATAACAAATACGCTTTTCTGTCATAAAAATTATAAAATAATTTTCATGATTTGCAAATTACGTACACTTCAAATTGAAGAATTTTTTAAAATAAAAATAATTATAGTAAAAATTCAAAGTTTTAGAATTTAATCAACAACCTATATTGCTGAATTCATAAGTAATAAATCAAATAAACGTAATAATAAAACAAAATCTCTCGCATAACAATTTTGCTTAATATTTCATATTTATTAAAATTCTTACATAACTTTTATACAATATTTTAAAATACGACTGATACGTGCTTTCAAAACAAACACTGAATTCATATTAAGTATTAACTACTCAATTTTAATAATCTTATCTTTATTGTATTAAACTACAAATCGTTAACTTCACAGTAAACCCACACATACATACATAGGTTAAAATTTTTCTCAATTCTATAATTAGCATATATTTTAAAATAATTTTGTCTCTCATTAACAAATACTACAATAACAAAATAACTTTCTTTATAATATAAAATCATCTAGCTAAGTTAAAAAATTATTTAGTCGGAATTTGAATTGAATCGTGTTTACAATTTTCATTATAGCCGAAAAAAAATTAAAAAAAATCAAACAAAAAAAAAATATTCAGAATTAATAAATGATAATTAATATTTGCTTACAATTATGTTTCTTTATCTTTTAACGCTATTAATAATTTTTATAACAACTTATTGTTTCTATAAATATAATATACAATGGAAATATATTGAAAAAATACAAGGGCCTAATGCATTACCAATTATTGGGAATGCTCATCAATTAGGAATGAATCCCGTTGGTAAAAAAAAAATTTTATAATATAAAAATTTAAATATAAATATTAAGTTAATTAAAATTGTAGTATTCGAAGTGATATACAAGTTTACGCTTAATTAATAAATCCTAAATTTAATATGAAAAATTATCATACAATAAGATTTAAAATAATCAAAATGAATGGATAAAAAATTCGGTGTTGCAAATTTAAGTAAATATATAAAAAAATTAGAGTGTTTATTTATTTATTCATTATATTAAAAAAATGAAACACACAAATGTATACAAAAATATAATTGAGTTATAATAAAAAATTGAAAATTAGCATTAAAAACATGTACAATTAAAAATACTATATAGACTATTTAAAATTAAATTTGGTCAAAAATATGACATCAGTTTTTAAAAAAATTCTAATAAATTCAAGGTTAACCATATTCTAATGGTTCTTAAAGAAAAACCTTAAAAAAAAAAACGCAAACAAAAAAAAAAATAAGAATTTAAAATAAAATCACAATTTGGTAAATAAAAAACAAAACACATGAAAAAATGCTCATAAGTTTCTCATATAGTTTAATGAAAAGGAATTAGGTGCTAAATCAACATTAAATGTGAAAAATATTGTAAAATAATATTAATCCAAAATTAAATTTACTATAAAATCTGATTACTGACTATTTATATATTAATATAATTTTGTAACCATAATAAAAATCAGCTGATCGCTGTTTCAACCTTTTGCAAACAAATAAAAAATTTCACTGTAATTGTGATCAGAATAGAATAACTTCTATTACTTACCGTCAGATAAAGTCTGATATTAAACAGTGATTAAATATAAAATTTTTTTTAAATTTTTTAAAATTTTGCACGACCCCCAACTTCGCCAAAAAATCGAAAATTTTTTTTAAAATTGTCAAAAAAATGAAAATTGTCTACCTTGTCAAAAAATTGAAATTTTTTTAAAATTTTGCACGACCCCCTACCTTGTCAAAAAATTGAAAATTTTTTAAAATTTTGCACGACCCCCTACCTTGTCAAAAAATTGAAAATTTTTTAAAATTTTGCACGACCCCCTACCTTGTCAAAAAATTGAAAATTTAAAATTTTGCACGACCCTCTACCTTGTCAAAAAATTGAAAATTTAAAATTTTGCACGACCCCCTCCTTGTCAAAAAATTGAAAATTTTTTAAAATTTTGCACGACCACCTACCTTGTCAAAAAATTTAAATTTTTTTAAAATTTTGCACGACCCCCTACCTTGTCAAAAAATTGAAAATTTTTTAAAATTTTGCACGACCCCCTACCTTGTCAAAAAATTGAAATTTTTTTAAAATTTTGCACGACCCCCTACCTTGTCAAAAAAATGAAAATTTTTTAAAATTTTGCACGACCCCCTACCTTGTCAAAAAATTGAAAATTTTTTAAAATTTTGCACGACCCCCTACCTTGTCAAAAAAATGAAAATTTTTTAAAATTTTGCACGACCCCCTACCTTGTCAAAAAAATGAAAATTTTTTAAAATTTTGCACGACCCCCTACCTTGTCAAAAAATTGAAAATTTTTTAAAATTTTGCACGACCCCCTACCTTGTCAAAAAAATGAAAATTTTTTAAAATTTTGCACGACCCCCTACCTTGTCAAAAAATTGAAAATTTTTTAAAATTTTGCACGACCCCCTACCTTGTCAAAAAATTGAAAATTTTTTAAAATTTTGCACGACCCCCTACCTTGTCAAAAAATTGAAAATTTTTTAAAATTTTGCACGACCCCCTACCTTGTCAAAAAATTGAAAATTTTTTAAAATTTTACACGACCCCCTACCTTGTCAAAAAATTGAAATTTTTTTAAAATTTTGCACGACCCCCTACCTTGTCAAAAAATTGAAAATTTTTTAAAATTTTGCACGACCCCCTACCTTGTCAAAAAATTGAAAATTTTTTAAAATTTTGCACGACCCCCTACCTTGTCAAAAAATTGAAATTTTTTTAAAATTTTGCACGACCCCCTACCTTGTCAAAAAATTGAAAATTTTTTAAAATTTTGCACGACCCCCTACCTTGTCAAAAAATTGAAAATTTAAAATTTTGCACGACCCCCTCCTTGTCAAAAAATTGAAAATTTTTTAAAATTTTGCACGACCCCTTACCTTGTCAAAAAATTGAAAATTTAAAATTTTGCACGACCCCCTACCTTGTCAAAAAATTGAAAATTGTTTAAAATTTTGCACGACCCCCTACCTTGTCAAAAAATTGAAAATTTTGTAAAATTTTGCACGACCCCCTACCTCGTCAAAAAATTGAAATTTTTTTAAAATTTTGCACGACCCCCTACCTTGTCAAAAAATTGAAAATTTTTTAAAATTTTGCACGACCCCCTACCTTGTCAAAAAATTGAAATTTTTTTAAAATTTTGCACGACCCCCTACCTTGTCAAAAAATTGAAAATATTTTAAAATTTTGCACGACCCCCTACCTTGTCAAAAAATTGAAAATTTTTTAAAATTTTGCACGACCCCCTACCTTGTCAAAAAAATGAAAATTTTTTAAAATTTTGCACGACCCCCTACCTTGTCAAAAAATTGAAAATTTTGTAAAATTTTGCACGACCCCCTACCTCGTCAAAAAATTGAAATTTTTTTAAAATTTTGCACGACCCCCTACCTTGTCAAAAAATTGAAATTTTTTTAAAATTTTGCACGACCCCCTACCTTGTCAAAAAATTGAAAATTTTTTAAAATTTTGCACGACCCCCTACCTTGTCAAAAAATTGAAAATTTTTTAAAATTTTGCACGACCCCCCTACCTTGTCAAAAAATTGAAAATTTTTTAAAATTTTGCACGACCCCCTACCTTGTCAAAAAATTGAAATTTTTTAAAAATTTTGCACGACCCCCTACCTTGTCAAAAAATTGAAATTTTTTAAAAATTTTGCACGACCCCCTACCTTGTCAAAAAATTGAAAATTTTTTAAAATTTTGCACGACCCCCTACCTTGTCAAACAATTGAAATTTTTTTAAAATTTTGCACGACCCCCTACCTTGTCAAAAAATTGAAAATTTTTTAAAATTTTGCACGACCCCCTACCTTGTCAAAAAATTGAAATTTTTTTAAAATTTTGCACGACCCCCCTACCTTGTCAAAAAATTGAAAATTTTTTAAAATTTTGCACGACCCCCTACCTTGTCAAAAAATTGAAATTTTTTTAAAATTTTGCACGACCCCCTACCTTGTCAAAAAATTGAAAATTTTTTAAAATTTTGCACGACCCCCTACCTTGTCAAAAAAATGAAAATTTTTTAAAATTTTGCACGACCCCCTACCTTGTCAAAAAATTGAAATTTTTTTAAAATTTTGCACGACCCCCTACCTTGTCAAAAAATTGAAAATTTTTTAAAATTTTGCACGACCCCCTACCTTGTCAAAAAAATGAAAATTTTTTAAAATTTTGCACGACCCCCTACCTTGTCAAAAAAATGAAAATTTTTTAAAATTTTGCACGACCCCCTACCTTGTCAAAAAATTGAAAATTTTTTAAAATTTTGCACGACCCCCTCCTTGTCAAAAAATTGAAAATTTTTTAAAATTTTGCACGACCCCCTACCTTGTCAAAAAATTGAAAATTTTTTAAAATTTTGCACGACCCCCTACCTTGTCAAAAAATTGAAAATTTTTTAAAATTTTGCACGACCCCCTCCTTGTCAAAAAATTGAAAATTTTTTAAAATTTTGCACGACCCCCTACCTTGTCAAAAAAATGAAAATTTTTTAAAATTTTGCACGACCCCCTACCTTGTCAAAAAATTGAAATTTTTTTAAAATTTTGCACGACCCCCTACCTTGTCAAAAAATTGAAAATTTTTTAAAATTTTGCACGACCCCCTACCTTGTCAAAAAATTGAAATTTTTTTAAAATTTTGCACGACCCCCTCTTGTCAAAAAATTGAAAATTTTTTAAAATTTTGCACGACCCCCTACCTTGTCAAAAAAATGAAAATTTTTTAAAATTTTGCACGACCCCCTACCTTGTCAAAAAATTGAAATTTTTTTAAAATTTTGCACGACCCCCTCCTTGACAAAAAATTGAAAATTTTTTAAAATTTTGCACGACCCCCTACCTTGTCAAAAAAATGAAAGTTTTTTAAAATTTTGCACGACCCCCTACCTTGTCAAAAAATTGAAAATTTTTTAAAATTT